TCGCATATACACAATGCTGAAAATTCCTTCCTTCAAAAAGGTTCACAATTCAGCTTTTCACTGCTGAGTAATCGAAGTTCATCTTTCAAGAAATTCTGGGCGTATTCTCATTTATCCGTGGTCTCTCCCATTTTCTGCGCAATGTCACCTCCTCAGGAAGGCCTTAACTACTCACAGTGCCTTCTATCATTTTTACTTCCCATGTATATCGCTACTTTAAGTTACATTATGTATTTATGTGTTTACTTTCTATCTCTTCCATTAGAACACAGATCGCATGTGGGTAACTCGTTCCTTGCTGTATCCTTAAATGCACCTGCATGTACTTTGGACTCCATAATATTTATGGAATGAAGAAAGAATGATGGAATGAACGAATGAATGAATGAAATGTTCCCTTTGAGGAGAGCAACCTGGTGAAGGCAAGCGGCAGCCAAAGCCCATCAGCTTACGGCCCTGATCGCCTCGTCCCACCCGGTTTCCACATCTGTGGCTTTGGATCCACGTCCTTGTTTTAAGATGGGAATTCTTCTGACATGGGTGGGGGAAGGACGGAAGGGCGGTCGCACCCACCGGCTCCTATGAGCAAGGACAGGTTGGGAAGGAGACGGTAGGTCCTGCCACACTGGTTTTGGTGGCGAGGGAGTGGCAGGGTAAGAGACAGGGGTGTGGGGCCGTTTCCCACCCTCCTGTCACCTTTACCCTTAGCATCTGTCTCCGAGCGATTTTTAGTCCTTTTGGTATTCACCGTCTCACTCCATCGCACCTGGACCCTTACGAACGCCCCTCGGCTCCCTGCTGTCTGTCTTCAGTGCTTCCTTCCTCATCCGTGCTGCATGGGGACATGGGACGGAAACACAAACCCTTTATGGCGCTCCCCAGCTCAAGAATCTTCAATGGCTCCTTTGCACTGGGAAAGAGGAAACCACTTATCCCGGAATGCTGTATTTGTTTGACAAGTCTGCCAATGTCAATACTCCACGAGTTACTGGCAGGCAGACTATGCCCGTCTTGTTTGCTATCTCCAGTGCCTGGGACAGTGGCTGGCAGGGTGGGTCCTCGTGAAATAATCACTTTCAGCAGCATCTCTCACTGACTCCATTCTGTGCTCAACATGTAATACTCTAAACTGAAGATTAGGATGGTTCATCGTAAATACAATTTGATTTCTTTCTTATGTGTACAACTGTCTCCTCTCTCCGAAACCACAAAAGCCTTTTTAGGACAGACTCATGTCATATTCTCTCACTGTGCCACTACTAAGTACATACTCGCTGTATGGAGACCCAATAACTCTAGGTTAGGAAGGAATTTCGTCACGGAAATTTTATTTTCAAGACCACTCAGTAACCGCATGGGGATGGTTTATAAAGTCTCAAGTAGCAAAAGAAAAAGCAACATTAAGAATTTGAGCTCAAGAGATGGATTTGAAATCTTTATAAGTACTTGAAAAACAGACTGGTGGACTCGGGTAGATTTTCCAGGAGCCCAGTTAGAGAGATGTCACAAAGACCGTCTCTGACTCTAATTATGCTACTCCAAAATGATGACTTTTGTCTAGTGATCTGGAGATTACCAACAATCTTAGTGACATGTTGAAGGGAATCAAAAACAACGACGGGGACCGGTGGGCCACAGAATCTGATGTGCTTTTATATTTCCTGCAATGGCAGTGAATGGACTTTTTATAGAGACACCTTTTCATCTCTACAGAGACTTTGTAGGCACCTGCGTGTATGTTACACCAACTAATTAGAGCACTTAGATGTTACAACTATATGCAATTTATAAATAATTAGTTTGTAAAGTGCTTTGGAAATGGAAAGTGCTGGGTAAGCACTCAAATTATTATATATTAAAAGCCTTTACTATGCAATCATTTTATTTAATAACCGGCTTCTTAAAAGGTATATGGTACTTTACAGCTAAATAGAATTTCTGATCTTCAATCATTAATATTAGAGTGAAACACTATTAGAGTGTAAATCAGAGACACTGATGGAGTTATTTTCAGTTTATATAAATATTATTCGTATCAATCTCCCTCACCCTTTCGTAGACCAATTCAGCTTTCCCTCGGGGCCCTGCAGACTATGCAAAGACCCCTTCTGCATCCACGACTGCTGGTCATCCTGCCCGCCCTAGCCTGTTTTCGCCTATTTGCCTTCAGAAAGTGTTTTTTTCTGAACCTGTGGAGTGTGTGTGTGTGTGTGTGGCTACCCTAAACAGACTCAAGACAGCATGCCACATGATCAGTGACAATAAATCCTTTTAGGAGCAATGAAGCCCTATGAGATGCAGCGAGTGGTCGCCGCTGGGCGCCTTTCCCACGGGTACTGCTTGTCGTCAACCCCTTCATTCCATGATCATTCTACACCTCTACGTCCACCTCCTGAACTTCGCTTTCATCTGCCGACAGGTCTTGGTTCGGATGCATTAAACTCCATGCAAATAATTCTATTATCCCCCACAGGACTAGTTGTAGGCAGAATTTCTGGAAAAGGCACAGAAGATTTGATCCTTTCCCACTTACCCGTTTAGGACTTCCTACATTGGCAAGAGCTAATTTCCTGACACTGCATTTGGCTTTCCAGACCCTTCCCATCACCCCAGGAGAGGACTCTCCATCTTTGCCTGAGACTCTGACCTTTCCTCATCCCTGCTGACACTTAAATTTAGGTCTCCAATGTCCTCCAGTATATTTTCTCTATTGGAAACCCAGACGAAGCCATTCTTCCGAACAATGAGTGTTAATGTTTAGCTTTCTCAGGCTCTAAACGAATGCTGCCCACGGAGGGCTGTTAGCTCCAAGCGACATTTTTCCACGCTAATATTTGATCCCCTCTTTGAAACTCTTTCTACAGATGTTACTACCCCCTGACTGGTTGCTCCTCTTTCACCCAAATTTTAAATACTAAGTTTGCCCAGGGTGTGGTCTTGGGCGCACTTCTTGGTCATGCTCGTTTTTAATGGATTCGTATCGCCGTTATGGCAAGAACTCTCTGGCTTAGTTAGAGTTCTTTCACGGCCTCCAATTCACGTCTATCACGTTTAGAAATGCACTTTTGATTCCAGTCACCTTGTCCACCTCCCACCCTACTGTCCCTTAAGTTTCCCATTTCAGGAATTTGGCCCCAAACCTAAGTAGGAGTCATCTTTCTGTGTCCTCACTTTCTACATCCAATTCCTGAGGCCTACCACCGGTTCTGCACAAATCCGGTTTAAAAATATTTCCCAATCCACCCTCTCTTCTCTGTCCCAAGCTCACTGCCTGTGAAGGCCACTTCGGCTCTGGCGTTCCTCTGCTTCTACTCTGGCCTCCTATGATTCATTTCCCCTCACTGTAATCAAAGCATCCAGATGTCATTTCCGTTGTCCTTAAAATCCAACTCCTTCGGACCCCTCCCCCAGCTCTCCCCTTTAAATCCGTAGGACAAACCCTTCTCTTGCTTGCTGACCAAGCCACAGATATGTAAATCTTTCAACACATTTAATTCTTCAAACCATCAGTTTTCTGCTTCAGGACCTTTGCACATACTGTTCCCCTAAAATGCTTTTTTTTCTTTTCTAGCTCCTCTTCCTGTACCCTCTGAAATATCTCCCTAACTTCCATCCCTAAAGCAGGTTCCCCTCTCATGTTTTCTATCTTGACCCTATATTTGTCTTTTTTTTTTCCCAAAGATACAATTTAAAAGGTTTTTTTTTCACTTTTTATAAGGTATGTTTCATGAGAATTAGAACTGTGTCTCATCCTAGACTAACACCTTATCCCAGGGGCTCGTACATACCAGGTGCTCAATAAATACAAAAAATATATTTATCTAAAAAAAAGTTCAGAGTGTAGGAAATGCAGGCTCTGTGGCAGGCCAGCAGAAGTCTGACACAAGTGAATAAAGATCTTTACGCCCTGACTACCTACGTGGATTCCTCTGGTATCTGCTAACGGTCCACTACCTATCAGGCACTGTGCTGCTTCGTGTAGTGGGTAGAAACATAAGCACTAATGATCGCAGAGTAAATCCAAGACCATGAAACTCAAGAGTATAATGAAAGCACATCCAGGACTCAAAGGAACCTGCGTGTTAGCCTCCCACCCAGACTAGAGTATGGCAGAACGCTCCAGAAAGAGGTAAAAGCATAAACGAAGGCCCCAAAGCACAGGGCATGGAGGGGCGCAGTGCTCAATTTCAAGGCTGACAGAATATTTAGGGTGAATTAAGGTCAATTTAGGGTTGGACAGGTATCAGACGAGGTTGAGGAGGTAAAATACGATAGCTCTTAGATGTGATTCACTTAATTTCCCATAGATGTGAAAACTTAACATTTTGTTTTCCCCAAAAGTCATTTTCCCCATAAGGAATTTTCCTTCCCCGTCCTTACATTCTCTCATATAGTGCTCCTTTGATGCAAACCTGGGCTATACTTAGACAACTACCTGAGGACTGAAGGTGTTACCTGGTCATCCCAGTTACCTCCCTCTACAAAATAGTTAAATTCTCCTGACCTACTCAGGTCATTTTTGACTAAATATTTTATTAGTGACCTGAAATTAAAGCAGTAAACTGGTATCTATCCTATAAATAATACCACAGAGGTGGAGCCTGATACTCCCTAAAATTCTCACGCGAAACCAGAATTCTCACAATTCTTTTAAATCATTCCCCACACCTGCCCCATCTACCAGACACTAGCAAAACATAAATTCTCTCATGAATTACTAAAAAACATGCAGAAAGAAGCCAAATCCCCTCCCCCACTCCCACTTTTCTTTGCTTTTCTGAAAGTGACCTCTCTATATGTGGTCATGCTCTGCTCTCTGCTCTCTCCCAGTAAAGCTATGAATGCATACTCCTTTTGAATTCGCTTGATAAAGTGCTTGTCTTGGCTCCAGATTTTCTTAGTTTCCTCATTTCCAATGTTGGCTCAATTAAAAATTAAAAAAAAAAAAAAAAAATCCCTAACAGTCAACCTTAAGGACCAAGGAACAGAAACCACTCAAATTGTTTATAAGTGGGAATTTATTAGATGAATACAAAGGTTCTTGGAGGGATTCCAACAGCTGTCATAGGTTCCTAGCTAGAATCAGGTCTTTCTGAAGGACAGATCGTGCTGTACTCGCAAACTTCTACTTCTGGGTTTTGCCAAGATCGCGAAGGCAATATCCTAGAGGATGCTCCTTCCTGTACATTGCATAAGGGTCTAGAGTGTGGATTCGTTTCTGCTTGCTTTTTGGTCCTTATACTCCTTTATGCTGGCCTCAAACTTGTCAAGCACATGTTGGCAGACATTCATGAGCTCATTCAGGCCTCTCTGAAACGGCTCAATAGCTGGAAGAACACCTCGAGTCTGAATGCGTAAGTTAATTTTACTCTCTGAAGGATGGGTTGTAGTGTAACCACAAAATTCCACTTCCGGGTTCTTCATGATCATGTAACGAAGAGAATTTCCTAGGGTATGGTCCTCCTCGTGCAATACAAATGTCACACAGTGTCTATCTGTCCCAGCTGCCTGGACCATTTCCAGGGCTGTCTTCCTCTCGCCTTCAGCCATTGAGGTCTTCAATCCAGACATTTTTCTACACACACATTTTTTATAAAAATGAGATCATACTGAATATGATTGTGTAACTAGCTTTTTTTCATTTACTACATCACAACCGCAACACATTATTACTCTAATGCACTCCAATTACATAGAACTGTCAGCATTAGCCCCTTATTTTCTTGCCTCTGCATATTCTATCAATAAATATTTAATTTCTTGCCTCCAGTTTCTCCCTACTCCATTTGACCGTCCACATGGCCACAAGGGGAGTCTCCTTAAAACACAAACTTAAATGTTTGCCAAGATACTCTTTTGGCAGAATCAAAAGAAAGGATAGGATTAGAATACGGTGGCTCTGCTAGGGGATGAAAAGGAAGTTGAAAGGCGTAGAAAGACGGATTAATATAAAAAGAGAGGCTACTGATGATCAACGTGCAGGGCCCACTACAGCTTCCATTTGCAGGAGATAAGGAAACTAGAATGGAAAGTCTGAGTCAATCGAGCAAGAGGGAGAGAGAACTCAGCGCACAGAGCGGTTTTACGAGCAGTCTGCACGGAGGAGGGGCCTGGGCCACAGTCACAGGGACGCAGGCCTGACTGAGCACACCGAGACCGTCACTCGGGGACAGTGGCGTGGTGCGTGATTCTACGTTAGCTCGATTTCCTCTTGCTGATCTCAGTGGGGATGGGCAGTCTGGGGACTTAACTCTGGTCTTACAACTTGTCTTCCCTTCCTGGTACCTAGTGTCTTGAGCGTCTCTATTCAAACGCATCCCTGTCTCCTCCCCTTTTCCCAATCGGGGCCCCCCGCTCCCGCCCAGGCGCCCACTTCTGTACGGGCCCCTGCCCTCCGGGTCAGGCCCTCGCTGCCGGGCCGCGCAGGCTGAG